AGAAAAAAAAAAAACTAAGACATTTCCATCCAGTCACATCCTAAGCAAGGACTGGAGATTTTCTCAGACTAATTCTGACCAAAAATTTTGTTTCTCATTTAATTATGCCCTTCATCTACTTGTCATTGAAAAGGTTAGGGGAAAGAGCAAACAACACAGAAGCAATAGTCCATATGTTATAAATGATCACTTGGCTAGGACTGTGCCTCTAATTATATAACTTCGGGCTTGTTAGTACAAATGGCTGGTTACATAGCAAAAAATTACAAGAAGATTTAATTTATATCTTATCTAGATTGTGTACATCTTTGTCATATAACAGATTTGAATAGGAAGATTTCAGATAATGGTCAGTGCAATGTTGTTATTGTTAGATACCATCAAGTTGATACAACTGAGGGTGACCTATGAACAACTCATCTGAACTCTACCTGACCCTTTGTCCTTCTCCTGGTCTCTGACATGCTCAAGTCCGTTTTTATAGTCACTGTGTCAATGTCAGTCTATCTCTTGAAGGTCTTCTTCTCTTCTGCTGACCCTTTAACTTTTTCGGCAAGATATATTTTCCCTAGGACTTGCCTCTCCTGACAAAATGCCCAAACTATGTGAGACAAAGTTTTATCATCTTTGCCTCTAAGGAGCACTCTGGTGATACTTATTGCAAGACAGACTTTGTTGTTGTTGTTCTTTTGGCAGTCATGGTATAGTCAATATTCATTGCCAACAAACGCCACACTCAAAGACATCAATTATTCTTCAGTCTTCCTTATTCACATCTCAGCTTTCAGATGTTTAGGATATAATTGAAAATACCACCAATTGGATTAGGTGCACTTTCTTAGGTCTTCACACTGAACTTGGGGCCCAGCCAGGACTCAAGGAAGGGATCAGAGAAAGAACGGAAGCTAAAGAAGTTTTATTAAGGGGTCTCCTGGGCTGGATTCCTTGTTCTGCAAAGAGAGATACAGGGAGAGGGACAGACCAGGGAATTAGCACACCCTAAAGAGGACTGTTGTTGTTAAGTGCCATAGGTGACGCTGCAATAGGTTTTCAGAGGCTCTGATTTTTTGGTAGGCTTTCAGAGACTCCAAATCATATAAGAGATTGCCCATCTCTCTTTCATAGAGCAGTTGGTGGATTCGAACCACTTTTGGATTGGCAGCACAACTTCCTTCTCTCTACCTAGATTAAAAACATTATACTTTTTCAATTTCTATTTATGAGGGGAAACAATGGATTCTTTTTCTTATAATTAAATTATTTTTAATATTTAATATTACACAATTACTGCTGGTTTTAGTAGCAAGAAAAACCAAGTATGACTCATAGTGACCCTGTCCTGTGCCATTCTGCATACAGGTTGAAAAGCAGGTACAGAGAAAAAAATCGGTTGGGAGGGGCTGCAGGGACACAGAGAGCACGCTGCTGGGCAAAACGGGAGCCTGGAAGCCCCAGGCAGGCGGAAGTCGGCCCAGACAATAGAGAAGCGACTCATACCGAAAGCGTCTGTCACACTGCAGGTACAGAGAAAAAATTGGTCGGGAGGTGACAGAAATGAAGCTGGAGATAGAATGATTGAATTTTGTACAATCAATGACTTATTCATTGTGAATACATTCTCTGGATACCCTAGGCTTTTTTTTTTCCCCTTCCCCACCCAGGGGTCAGATGGCACAATCTGGGGACTGAGGAGCTCACCCTGAGGGCCACGACGGCTCTCCCCGAGCCAGGGGCCGAGGGCAGCCCACCCCGGGCAGAGGGCTGTGACGGCTCGCCCCGAGCTGGGGGCCGAGGGCAGCCCATCCTGAGCAGGGCAACACCCCCCAGGAGCTGGATGGTATACTCCCCCTCCAATTGCCCCTACCCCAGTCTGGTCCCCTCGCCTGACTGAAGACTCTGTGGTCAGGGATAGTGTTTCCAATTCCAGCACTGCCACTTTTACCCCCCCATAAATGGTCATACTATATTTTGAAGTAGGTGTCACTGCCCTCCCCCTTTATATATGATAAAGGGAACCTGAGAATTGTGAACAGACTCCCCCCAGGTCTAACCATCTTTTGGTAGAAGCATTCAACAGTACAAAATATGTGGTGCATTTAGGATGTGGGTCCTCTTGTGCATGCTGCCACTGTTAAGGTCATCAGACTCACAGTGACTTTTAGCAATCCATTCTATAGGTAATCATCTTCTTTGGCCTGTCCAATGAAACCCAAACCTACAGATGGCGGGCATGCATCCCATCCCCCACCTGCTACACAGGTGGCCAGTGGGGCGCGCCCCCCCAAGCACGGGAGGCCGGCTGGAGGCAAGTGCTCCTCCCCAGCACAGCTGGCCGCTGGGGGCATGCCCTCCCCACCCTGCCACATGGGCGCTCGGCATGCACGGAGCCCCTTTTGTGCAGGTGGGCAGCAGGCACCCGCTTCCCCCACAGCCACCATCCTGGCTCCAAGAATTCTCTCCAGAACCTTGCCACCTTGCGGCAGTGTGGTGGCTTCACTGTACCAGTCTTGAGGAGGACAGGTGCCCAGCATCCATCCTGGGTGAGGGAATCCATTCGTTCACGCTGTGGAAGCCTCATGGAACTGCAGCAGCTGTGCAGCTCAGCACGGGCTCTGCAGGGGGGAGGTTTGGAGCCACGAGACTCACCCATTTTTCCTTGGGAATGCTTGAATTCCTATTGTTGAACCTCGATCTTCACTGA